AGGCCAATATTCAAGTCCAGGAAATACAGAGAACACCACAAAGATGTTCCTCAAGAAGAGCAACCCCAAGGCACATAATCGTCAGATTCACCAGGGTTGAAATGAAGGAGAAAATAGTAAGGGCAGCCAGAGAAAAAGGTCAGGTTACCCACAAAGGGAAGCCCATCAGACTCACAGCAGATCTCTCAGCAGAAACCCTACAAGCCAGAAGAGAGTGGGGGCCAATATTCAACATCCTTAAAGAAAAGAACTTTCAACCCAGAATCTCCTATCCAGCCAAACTAAGCTTCATAAGTGAAGGAAAAATAAAATCCTTTGTGAACATGCAAGTACTCAGAGATTCTATCACCACCAGGCCTGCTTTACAAGAGGTCCTGAAAGAGGCTCTACACATATAAAGAAACAACCAGTACCAGCCACTCCAAAAACATGCCAAATGGTAAAGAGAATCAACACAATGAAGAACCTGCATCAACTAATGGGCAAAACAGCCAGCTAGCACGAAAATGGCAGTATCAAATTCACACATAACAATATTAACCCTAAATGTAAATGGACTAAATGCCCCAATCAAAAGACACAGACTGGCAAGCTGGATAAAAAGCCAAAGCCCATTGGTGTGCTGTATCCAGGAAACCCATCTCACATGCAAGGATACACAAAGGCTTAAAATAAAGGGATGGAGGAAGATTTACCAAGCAAATGGAGAGCAAAAAAGAGCAGGAGTTGCAATTCTCTTCTCTGATAAGTTAGAATTTAAAGCAACAAAGATCAAAAGAGACAAAGAAGGACATTACATAACGGTAAAAGGATCAATGCAACAAGAAGAGCTAACGATCCTAAATATATACGCACCCAATACAGGAGCACCCAGATACATAAGGCAAGTTCTTAATGACTTACAAAGAGACTTAGACTCCCACACAATAATAGTGGGAGACTTTAACACCCCATTGTCAATATTAGACAGATCAACCAGACAGAAAATTAACAAAGATATCCAGGACTTGAACTCAGATCCGGACCAAGCAAACCTAACAGACATTTACGGAACTCCCCACCCCAAATCCACAGAATATACATTCTTCTCAGCAGCACATCACACCTACTCTAAAACTGACCACATAATTGGGAGTAAATCACTCCTCAGCAAATGCAAAACAACGGAAATCATAAGAAACAGCCTCTCAGACCACAGTGCAATCAAGTTAGAACTCAGAACCGCACAGCTTCATGGAAACTGAACAACTTGCTCTTGAATGTTGACTGGATAAACAAAGAAATGAAGGCAGAAACAAAGATGTTCTTCGAAACCAACGAGAATGAAGACACAACATACGAAAATCTCTGGGACACATTTAAAGCAGTCTCTAGAGGAAAATGTATAGCAATAAGTGCCCACGTGAGAAGCAAGGAGAGATCAAAAATTGACACCCTAT